CTCGCTTAGCATGCGAGAGGTAGCGGGATCGATGCCCGCATTCTCCATGGGGTAGTTTATTTTTAACATGTTTTTAATTACAAAGCTTTGCTTTTGACTGTCACAAAGCGTAAATGGAAGATCAAGTATAGCAAAAATTTACATTTCTTCAGATGAGTACCCTCAATGGAATGGTTACAATTGTAAAAAGTAGGGCTGGCTTAACTAAACACAGAAAGAGAATTACAAAAACTATCATTTGCTCTTGTTCTATCATAAGCACAAACTTCCAACTCTTGATCTTTGCCATCTGTTGCTTTGCAATTTTGCTGTTAAGTAGACCGTGAATCAGCGTAAATCTCTTGGTACTTCGTATTCTCTTTGTAAAAGCTTTCTATACAGAAGCTTCCAAGTATGTACTCGGGGAGGGGAATTAGCTCAAATGGTAGAGCGCTCGCTTAGCATGCGAGAGGTAGCGGGATCGATGCCCGCATTCTCCACTTTTCATTTTTCGTCCGTTTTAATACGAACTGTACATTGAGAGCTTTTTTACCGAGATAAACTTGTGTGTCTAATGACATTTGGCCAAATAAAATATTCTACTTTATTCTAATTAGAGCTTCCAGAAACATTTCAGTTACCTCAGGAAGTGTTACAGGTGGCAGACAAACACTCTTGGGAATCTAGTGACAGTTGAGGATAAAGGAGCAGTATTCATGTGATTGTTTCCACATCATTTTAGTACATCTGGCTCTTTGGAGATCAAAACAGACCCAACCTTAAAGCCCTAAAAGCCTGGCTATGTTCCCAAAGCTCGGGTGCTAAATGTGTCCAGGCCAGGGCCCTGTTTTCTGGCTTTATTGCTAACTGGTCAGGTATCTCAGCTGCTATGCATATTTATTTTGGAAGTTTTTATTGTTTTTTTATTTTTCAAAATGTTTTAGTGCTTTAATTGCAATATATATTTGAATTGTAAGCCATCCAGAGTAACTGATGGGTGGTTATAAAAATTAATTAAAAAATAAAAAATAAATTTCCACTATAACAGCATAAAGAAAAATAGAAAGCTCTGAGTAGACTGCAAGTTGCTGTTACCTATTATGTAAAACACATAAAAGACCAAACTTGCACAGAGAAAATAAACATCAGAAGCAATAAATCAGGTAATCAATAACATACAAAAGGTGTTGGCTGGCTTTTCCTGTTTCTGGATCAAGAGGCCCTACATCATGCCTTAAGCATTTTGCAGTTGAACTATTGCAATGAACTCTACAGTTTAAGACGACTCAGAAGCTACATTTGATCCAGAATGTGGCTTTTCCAATTATGATAGATAAGTCTTCTGTGCCCACATAGCATCCCTGATTGGTGAGATGCACTGGTTACTAGTTGGCTTGTGGATATGAGTCAAGGTGCTGATTATTACCTATCTAGCTGTACATGGCATAAGACCTATGTTAAGAATCATCTAACATCCCTTAACATCTGTCCATCCTGTATGTTCTATCATATCAGATTAGCCTGATTCAGGTCATTTCAGTTAAGAATGTTACTTGTGAGATCCAGGGAGTGGGACTTTTCTGCCATTGCACCTGCCTTTTGATATTTGCATGGGTGTCTCCTTCCCTATGTTTAAGCATTTTTTTTAAAAAAAACTTGGCATTTCCTTCAGGCCTTGGGTTGAGCTGGTCAGGTCCTATGAATTATTAAGAATTTGGAGCAATGTCACCTTAACAATTGCTGTTTTATGGGTATACATAATTGTGTACTGTTATTTCTAACTCTGTGAACTCAACCAGAGTCAATTGAAATAAAGCAGTTTAAAATTTAATAAATAAATGTATACTCTACTGTTGAACAGAGAACTCATGGAAAAGATGCTACTTATTTACTAGTTGATTAGCAGAAAACCCTTTTTTCCGCATATTCCAACTTAAATATGCAACTAATGGGGATATTAAATCACATGTTTCCAGCCTCCTTTAGCAACTTCAGGCAAAACTTCACTTGTGGCAAAAAGAGACGTTAGGGGTTAGTCTCCCTGTGTATGTGTTCCCAGCTTTGACTCACTTCAGAATGTTGGTAGTCTGACAGTCTTCAGTCCAATAAATGCAAGTTAGCTTCACAATAGCTTTAGCTACTTACTTGTAGGTTTGTATCGTACCATTTATTCAGGAACTCAAGACAGCATATGTAAACACTGTCTCCCGTTTCTAACTCCCGCCCCCAGTCACACCATAATCCTATGTGGTAGATTTGACTGACAGAATGAGTGAGAGTCATCCAGTGAGCTTGTGCAGCTCACAGCTGAGTTCAAGTATCCAGGGCTTGAACCTGGATCTGTACAGTCACAATCTGATAAATTAACCAGGTTTTTCGTGCAAAGAAATGACTATTTTGGCTAATTTGGGCTACTGTTTAATATTCTTAATTGAGTTAAGTTTGTTTTCAAACACAAATGGAAAATACAAAAAGTTTTGCATACAAAATACACAGTCAAAATTGTACTGTATAAAATAGTTGTGGCACATCCCTTTTGGATTTTATTATTTTTGAGACTGTAAAATGATAACATGTATTTGAAAGCATTTTTTAGAATCCCAGAAAAAACATTTCCTCCATCAGGATCTAATTATGTTTTTAGTGCTGTGATATGAACAGATGTAAACTTGATTGAACTAATTTCATTATTGTGAAAACATGAATATATTTAGGTGTTTTGGGGTCTTTTCCCATGTAAGATTAAGAGTATCTTGGCGATGTTTCGGTGAGGTCCCACTCAACATCCTCAGGCTGGTGCTTTCAGCTTCGTGCCAGTGCAAGCAGTGTGTGATCAGAGCTGCCATCTCTCTATAAATACTGGTGGTGGGGGCTGGTGTGCTGGGCTGGTTGGCTGCGCTGCTGCCTCTTGATTGGTTGATGGAGTTGATGTTGGTATAATGGGCTGTGTGATGGCCTTGTGAGTTTTGTTGTGGAGACATCCTGGATTTTGTGCTGTAATCTCCTGGGTCGTTTGTTTTGTAGTGATCTTTTTTCCATTAGCCTCTTGTGTTTTAATGGCTTGGGTAATGGGTTGTGTGATGGGCTTGTGAGTTCTTTTGTTGTGGTATCCTGGGTCCTTCGTTGTAATCTCCTGGGTTGTTTGTGTTTTGATCTCTTTTCCATTAGCCTCCTGTGTAGTAACGGCTTAGGTAATGGGTTGTGTGATGACCTTGTGAGACTTATTGCTGTGGTATCCTTGGTCTTGTGCTGTGATATCCTGGGTCATTTGCTGTGCTGCAACTTCTTGAGTTCTTGTGGTGTAATTTCCTAAGTTTTCTGATGTGATATCCTGAGCGGGTGGCTGTGATGTAGCATTCTGGGTTTTAGTCTGACTTCAAGTTTGGGGTCTGTGTCAGCTTGTTTGGTTTTGGGGTCGGGGGGCGCGACAGCTAGCGAAGCAGCCGTGGTCTGTTTTCTGGTGGTTGTCCTTCGTTTATAGGATGGGCTTGGGTCTGGGTCTGATGAGGGGGATTGGTGGTGGTGTGCCATGTTGTTTTGGGTCTGGTGTTGGTTTTCGTGACTGGGACTCATTTGTTGGTGAGGGTTAGCTTCCAGGTGTCTGGTAGGCGGGAGGTATTGTCCCATCTATTCATGTTATAGGGGTGTTTTTCTATCTCGATGGCTTCCCTGATTATTCTCTTGCTGGAGTGTTCAGTGTTGGATATTAATATGGTTCCTTCGAAATTAATTTCATGTCCTGTGGCTTTAAGGTGCTGGAAGAGGGAGGAAGTATTTTCTTCTCTTCTGACTGCATTTTTGTGTTCTGTGATGCGTGCATTTATTCTCCTGTTGGTTTGTCCAATGTATGTGGCTGGACAAACCAA